GTGCCCAATTAGTCGCCTCAGGCGTATGCAATAAGCATACATTCATTTGTCATACTCGTCTGCCACACGAGTGTCTCAAAACATAGCACATTCTGCTCGTCAGTCAAGTAAATGCCGCATACGCTGCACTGCGTGGGCGACTGTAACTGCTTGTTCATGACGAAAAATCATTACTCTTCAGGATGTTATTAGTGAGATAAAGACGTAACATCGGCTACTTCAGTCAAATCTTAAGGTGAAGCTGCGGCAGCAGCAGGTGAAATCATAATCCATAGCTATACAGCCTCAGATCAAAGTCTGTGCTCTTATCTTCTCAGCAACTGAGCCAGCAATTCTTTTGCGTTATCCCTTGTAGCATTTGGCCGTGGAGAGGTTAGAGGTGAACAAAACTCGTGACGAGAAAAGTGAACAACTGATAACATTTTTCGCGGAGGCTAGTACGAGCGCGCCCCGCAACACTTCCCTCCCGCTCGAAGAACAATTTTTTCCGGGGAGAAACTGAAGACATTTCGGGAAAACATCGGAAAAGTGTTAGTAAAAGAATTTGTTTGGATGGCGTGCGCGGAAGTGGAGGGGGATCGTATTATAAAAGGAATTTCTGATTGGGTCATATTTTGCAAAATTTTACCCCAACCGCAGCACGTGCCCTGCTTTCCTTCCTTTGTTTTCTGGTTTTCCAGTTTGCAATTCGGTCTTAGAATGCAATGGAATGGGTTCTGCAATCCGTGCACTTAGCTGGTATTTCGTGAAACCGTTACACAGGGCACTTGATTCAGCCGAAAAGATTTGTGTGCGGCATTAATAAATGACCCTCCAACGTGACATCCGGTACTTCGAATTTTCGCGGGAGGCAGCTCTCGATCAATGTCAGCGATGACGTCTAATCCCCTCGAAAAGGTGTGGGATATTTAGACTTTAAAGGTCAGGTATGCGACTGGATCAGAAGTGTTCTAACAACTTGTAAGTTTGAAAGAGCAGATGTCGAACCAGAATCTAGAGTATTTAACAGTTTTTGTTATTCGACTCTATCGGGGTTTCGGCTCTTCTTTCCGAAGCTGGAAAGCCGTGAGACTTCAGAGAATATACCTGAAAACAGCAAAAGAGGTCAAAAGCATTGAATGAGCGTATAGATCATGATAGGGCGTCAATTTTGTTTCTATGATGAGCACAATTTCATCGTATTGGATGAATATCTGTCCCATTGGTCTGCAACAGGCTTGTTCACGTTCTAGGACGAATGAAAAGTAGCGAAGTGGAATGTTCTGAATATCCTTGTTACACTTTTTTTACAATGTAAAGCTCGTTAGTTACTCTCGGAGGGTACATTGAACTATTCTTTCTTGTTAAGCACCTTACCGCTCTCTAGAAGGGATTATTTCCAGATGGGCTGGCTTACACATTTTTCTTCACATGAACGAACTTCCATCGAAGTCAACAACATTAAAAAGTCGCAGTCAACAGCGCCACGAGCTGTCAACACCCTAGACAAAAAAAACCATTAAAAAATAGCAACTCAACAAATGTTGACCAAGTTCTCCGCAAAAGCTGATATTCGATCCAAATCCGATGTAAAGTTGATATCTTAGAAATCTGCCGAAGCGGTGTCAGCAGGGGTGGGGCCCAGCACGTTCCGGTTGCCCTTTCTACCATTGGTGATCAGCTTGTTGTCGATGTAAGAAGGAAAGAACCAGTGAGGAAACGTCGTGCGTGGGCTCAATGTATCTCCTTTGGAATTGCATCGATGCTTGCGACGATATCAGCTGCAGAGAAATCATAGCGCTCAGTGGTTGCTGACAAATTCACTCTGAATTTAAAGCTGCATAGCTCACAATTTTCGTAACTTTGAGTGAGGCAGTTCGGCTTGGTGGGAGCAATTTTCTGGTCCCCATCGGTCAATGCCGGCGCTTCCTGTGAAGACTTCTCAATTCGTGTAAAGTTATGAAGTAGCAAGCTCTTCGTTTACACTTGGCAGGAGTCTAGCTCAGCAAGATGGAACTAATTTAGCAGTAACTAACGAAATAAACTGCCAGTGCAGAATGCTCCATCCCTCCTGAGCCAAACAGTACCCGTTTTGATTTTGTCCACATCTCTTCATCGTATCAATTGAAACTGCAGCAAATTTAGGACTCCGTGCAGAGAATACCAATTCTGTGATATGTCTGAGCCCTAGTTTTACCAACACAGTACTCTTTATTTTCAGTGAAACCAGAGATGAAATACATCGGCAACATGCATGGTAACGAACCGCTTGGTCGAGAACTACTCCTTCGCCTTGCTGATTATCTCTGTGATGCAGCTATCAAGAAAGATAAGGTTCGTGCCAAGTTGCCTCTAATTACATGTGAAGAACTTTAGAGTTTTTTGATTTGAAGATCGAGCTCTTTTTCACCGCTCTCCAGAGCCCACATGCTTGATGCATTACTTGTAATACACAATAATAACATTTCAGTCTACGTTTGAGAATTTCAAATTTGAAATCAATGCGGAAATTCAGGAAAAATGTTGTTCAAATTTAGCTGAGGGCAGGCTGTTCGACTTCACATTGAGCTGCGAGTTGAGAACTTTTTGCTGCAGTATGATGTTGTTCTATTGTGAACCACAGTCCATCCTGAACGTATGGGCGGGCTCAGACCCACCATTGTGTTGTCGTTATTGGTGCACCCTACTTCCAGGATGCTTAAGAGTGGTAGAAACGTGCTAAAGAAATAACGTCATGGTAGGCCCAGCTCCGGGCCCATGCGAGGTGCCCTCGAATTCGTCGACAGCACACCTCGAGCTCGTTCAGACAGAGTACAGAATCAGCGGGAGTGGACTTCTACGCGATTTACAACAATTTCTGGCTGACGGCCTAGCTTGTTCTAATTGCCTACGCTCCTCGTTTGCATCTCTCTTTTTAGTTTTTTTTTATCTAGTCAAGTAGGTTACTTGTTTCTCAACACTTCCACCTTTCCCAAAGCGCATTGCAACAGACTTGGATTATCTCCGCCTCATTTTTTGCCTGCATTTTTCATCAACCGATGTCAGCATAGCATGTTGTCATATTAGTGCCTTTCAAAATCAAGAAGCCCAACAGAAAAATATAGCCTCGATAAAAAATAAAAATAAAAATAAATATAAAAGAAATAAGAATAACTCAGACTTTTGGAAGTCCAAGAAGAGATTTCCGCTGCAACTCGCCCTCAGTCTATTCGGGATCAACAAGCTGAATTTTATGACTTCATAATCGCATAAGAAGTCATAAGCTGTAGCTGTAGAGCTCTAGAGGTCCATAGAGCTCTAGTTAGACTATTTATCAACGCGCACCATAGTTGGCTTGCGTGGTACAACAGATCAGGCTGATTGCGCCTCTGACCAAGACGTTTTCGAACATTCCAAAATTCTCTTCCCATTAGTCACTAGAGTGCTGATCCATGAGTACAAACTTGATTGCAACAAGGGCTCGAGCCTGGACCTCATTATTACTGGTTCAGAATTCTAACCTTCACAGTGGGGTTTCCTATTGCTCTCACGGCTCGATGTTTTTTTTGTTTTCTTTGGGACCTTTGCTATCTTGCTATGAGCTGCCACCCTTTCATTCTTTTTCCGAGTAGGCAGGCGAAAAGAGCGGGACTGGTGCTCCGATGGCGGCAACGTCCATAAATTAGTAAGGCTCATATTGGAAGCCTACGCAGTCGCTCAATATAGTCTAGATGAGTGAGAAAACGCCTACGGATCTCGTTTCATAGAATGGTAAGACTTGCCAAAAAGGGTGTGTGTGACAGGCTGTGTAATCATAAAAAAATAAAAAAATGTAAAAATGTAATCAACTAGAAAAGTATGAGAACTCGAAAAATTCTCAGTGCACTTCATCAACTCAGCGAGCAAAACGAACGGTTGAATTGATTTGCTAATTTTTGGCTCATAGCGGGACAGTGGCAGGGAGAGGCAGTTGTGGCTGGCTACGACTGCCAATGCCTGGTCATCACCCTAACTAAAGTCGCACCTCATGTTTGTCGCAGGGGTGGACACAGTCTAATGCGTCATCGTCCACCCATCTCCTACCTACCTCCCGGAACTCTCCCAAGGTCCTACTACTCTTCCGAAATTTCCCTTTCGAAATTCTTCAGCTCGTCAGTGAGGTGGGCACGGCTAAGCCCATGTAACCAGCGCGGAATGTGCCTGCTTACAGATCCACTCCTTGTGAAACCTCAATTAGTCAGAGGTGTTTGTGGCAAAGAAACGATTGAGCACAATATTGGCTAAGCATGTTATCGTGTAACCAAGGATCTACTGATCTGAAATAGGCCTGAATGAGCTTCTCTACCACTGGTTGTTCTCATCTCAAACCGATCCCGACCGTTTATCATTGGTAGAGCTAGGCAGCCTTCCGGGGGGGGGGCTCCTTCCTCTGCTCCTGACACCACCCTGACTGATTGCGACGTTGTTAACTATGCATCTACTTGGTCCCTCTCACCGAAAAGAAAAATGGTCTCTACACTAATTGTAAAGCTTTGAAAAAGCGCTGGAAAGCAGAAACACATGACATGATGTGGCGTGATTCGGTCCGCCCCCCCCTCCATCTACTCTTGTTCAAACCTTGTTGGATAATATTCCACGATTTGATCCACTAGTTCAATAGCCTCAGCATTATGGAGTCTTCCATGGGAACTCGGTCCTCGGAACCTTGGAGAAAGTGCATCGTGTCCATTCAGTAGGAAAGGTAGGTCGTATTGGAGCTGTAAAGTGAAGTTCGTATAGAAATGAAAACGTGTGTGAGAACTTTGGGGAAAATACTCCTCACTGTAATGATGTGCCATGCTCAGGAAGCAATAAAAGGAGCACTCGAAAAGCAAAAAAAAATTGCTGATGTAATTTACAAATGATCTACATTTATCCTGGGATATAAAAGCTTTTGAACATTCGCAAATAAATATAAGAATTGGACAGCCGTTTTTGAGCTCTTTCTTTTTTAGGAAGTTCTGCAACTACTTAACTCAACCTCAATTCACCTCTTGCCTTCGATGAATCCTGATGGTTTTGAACGTGCACTGAATACGGTAAGTTGAATAACTCTCAAGTTATTCGATTTCTGCTATTTCCCAAGCGCTTCTTCGAAAAGAAGCCGCAGGCGCTTATACGTCCAATGACGTCAACGGCTAATCAGGCAAGCAGCTAGCCAGCGAAAGCAGTTTTCATTCGTGAGAAAAGGGATCGATGGTGACGTTGTAGAATATCTTCCAAAGAAGCTTTTGCAATACTCCTTCAAACAACGGCATTTTTAAATTCATAATTCGTTTCAACTGAATTGGTTGAGTGGGCGTTTGACCGTACAACACCTCAATAATCACATCATTGCTGTTGTTGTGTGGTTCTTTTGTTGAAGGAAATAGCTTAATTTCCTATCGCTATATAACGGAGAAGGTCTGGCCAGTGAAATCTGGAATCAACTGCTGATGCTAAACATCAGCCTTCTAGTAAAGCCTGTCGGGACAATATTCTATAGAAGACTTCATTCAAGGCAAAATTTGAAGGAAGGTGGAAGCGGCTTAAAGGAACTCAGAGAAAGCTTCATGGAAAGCGTCATTTTTAGGAGTCAAAATAAAGTTATTCTTCTTCTCTTCTTGCCGGAAAGGCAAGAAGCGTCGTACATCATAAATGTGCGAAACTGATCAGGGAGTAGTAAGTGGCTTTTTCGGAAGGCCGAGTGAGGTTTAGGGGGGGGGGGAAGGGCGCGTGTTTGGAAATACGAAAAAATTTTCGCTTGTTGACTTACTCCTTTGATCTGCTATACATTCCCTTATATCGCAGCAGCGTGAACTATTTTTCCTTATAGTTCATCGGTGGTGTCCAACCCTTACCCCTCGCTCCATAGTGAGATCGTGGCGAAATTTGGTAACATGGTAGATGGGTTGTGATCGGTGTCATCTGAGAGGGGGGGGGGGAAATCTTGACACCGCCATTTCACCAATCCAGTTATGAAGAATGGCAGAAGAGAACCGGAACACAGAAGAGAAAGAAGGAGGGGGTAGGTAACAACATCATCAGCCCTTGACGACCCTGTTTTTCGATGCCATGATTTTTGCAGAGATTTGTCTCAGACGTACATATTGCTGGAATTCTTGCCAATGTCAAAAAGGACCTGGCGGCAGCTGGCGACGTAGCATTCAGGCGTTTCCACTCAGACATTATTATATTACTACATATGATATGTTTACAACGGGAGCACACAACACGATTTCTACCAAAGCCGAGTGGTGGGTGTGGCCCAAAATTTGAACGGTGAAGTAATAGCAAGGCATGGATGATGCCCACAAAACTTTTCAAGCAGGGCCTCTGCAATTTTGCCACTTTGGCACAGGTTCGGTTGGCTTTTTTCTATAGCCATTTTTTGCTGGCTGGTTACGGTAGGCTGTCATTAGACAGACAATCTTCAGCAATATTAAGGTATAATTATCGAAAGAACTGAAAACAACTAATTAATTGATTTCAGGAACCTTCACAGCGTGCTTGGCTAACAGGAAGAACTAATGCTAACGGAGTCGATCTGAACAGGTGAGCAGTTCAAGAAGTTGTTAAAGCCATTTTTGCGGCAGAGACCAGTTCCATGTTGCTCGTGTGGGCGAAGTCGTTAGAGCTCCTGTTCTTTGTATGACATGAAGAACAGTGGTGCACTACTGAGAACGGCACAATTGATAGCCCCGTCGATTCGACGAGAAGTGGAGGAACGCACCCTAAAATAATTCCAAGAAGAAAAAAATGCTTTTTTTAAGCTTAGGTCAGCAAGAGTGCCCATGGAAGTGCGGTATCACTGAAGGGAAGGGGATCCAAGAATTATTCAGTCACTTAGTGACTTAGTGTCCATCAGAAGCAGTAGGACCATATAGTGGGAGATGTCTAAATTACCTCGAAAGCTCTATGGCACTTCACATCTATGAACTGCGTCCTCCCTACTATACCACTTCCATGGAAGACTTTTCAACATTCTCTGGAAAGCATTTTTACAGGGACTTCCCCGATCTGGACAGTATCTTCTATGAACTGGAGAAAATGAAGGTGCCAAAATATGATCATCTGATGGAGCTGTTTGACGATGATAAGGAGGTATGGCTGTGTTTCTAGCCGAAATCGACTCAAGATGTGTCACACTGACTATGCTGACTATGCTGCTTAGGAGATGCCTACTTTGAGATGTCATGGGTGAATTAATTAAACACGCTCTGCAATTGTAAGTCGTGATCAGGATGTTCCGAACACGGAGGTTGGAGTGCTGTATTACCTAACAGAGATTAGGAGCAGAAATATCCGAAGTCCCGTCAAGGTCCGTGAAGCGAGAAAAATCAACTATCAAAATAAATTTTTCTCAGCCCAAATACGACCCCCTCTCCTGGCGGCCAAATACGACCCCCCCCCCTGTTGGGGATTCCCCAACAACGATGTGCCTTGGGGTAGCGTCTCTACGGCAAATGACGTCTTCAGCTCCCTCCAAACTCATTTTCAGCAACTAAAGTGGCACATAAGGCGATCGCTTCACGTATATTTAAGTTTCCATTGAGGTTACCTAGCGGCCAGTCTGATGGTGAAAGCGTTCTGCCCTCAACTTTTTCACCAGTAATTTTGTGCTATACAAATTATCTCTGCCCACATGTAGAGGGCAACAATCTCTTATATTATTAGAGATCATGAGATAAATGGCTCGTAACAGATTGTCGCAACTTATTTCGCAGACGTGAGGCGGAGGTAGTGTAGTGA